TGGGTGACCCCCAACAGTGAAATTACATCATTTGTCTCATCATGAATATCATAATCATTGTTAGCATTACCAACCATACCATCAACAATACTGACATTACCATCAATGTTGCTGACATTAATATCATCCCCATTGTCATCACAACTATTATCAACAGTCACGTTTATAATATCAATGACACCTGAGTTCGATACCTCCCCAGGCAAGGGGATTTCTTCTCGTTCTCCAGCTAATGGAGAACCCTGGGTCCCCACTCCATTCCCAGCCCCCTCCCTCTGTCCATCCACAGGTGGCCCAGACATTACCCCAATATCTGGCCACAGTACCTTGGCATGTCCAGAGAGTTCCAGGGGGCCCTTCCGGGTCTTCTCGGCAGGGGCATAATACGAAACAAGAGTGCCTAGGTCAGCACCCAACAAAACAGGTGTGGAAATTTCCTCTCAAGACCGGTTGCCCACGGTGACTTGCTGCAAGTTGGCGGGGGTTACCCGCATCTTCCTGCGAACGAACAGCACAGAAGAAGAGTTGCTGGCCGGCTGGCCAGATGCCGTCTGCTTCTGCTCAGGACACTGCGTCCTGAGATGTCCGCTTTTCCCACAGGTGAAACATCTGCGGGTCTCAGGCAGGGATGCCTTGGCTCCAAGCGCTGCAGGTGTTTGGCGGAGGAGAAGCTTGACTCACCGATGTAGGAGAGGTTGCTAGGGGCGATTTCCCCCCTTTCCAGCTGTTTGGAGGAACCTTGCGAGGATCAGACACCCGTGTATGGACAAAGGTATCTGCCAGGTCTGCTGCAGCTTTAGTAGATGCTGGCTCCCTCTCCAAGACGAACTGTCTGACGTCTGCCGGGCAAATGTGCAAGAGTTGATCTCGTATCATGAGATCCTCCAAAGATTCGTAGGAGTCAGCTTCCAGCCCCTTAGTCCACTGTCGGAATGTGGTGCGTAAGTGACTTGCCACATCCGTGTAAGAGTCCCCAGGTCCCTTCTGCATGGACCTGAACCGCTTGCGGTACACTTCTGGGGTCATCTGGTACTTCCGGATGATGGCATCTTTTAAAACTTTGTAATCATCGTCTTGCCCCTCTGGCAATTCAACAAACATGTCCAGGGCCTTGCCTCGTAGCCCTGATGTCAGGTACCGAGCCCATTGAGTTGGGGGCACATGGTACTGACGGCACGTTTTTTCAAAGGACAGTAAGTACGTGTCAATGTCACTATCCTTTTCCATCACTGGAAACTTGGCCGCGCCCACGGCAACATCTAATGTTTGTGTAGTATTATGTTCAGCAGACTGTGTTCTTCTATTGTGACTTAGATGACGTCCAGAGCACATTTTACGCCCAATTCATGCAAAACTCCACGTAAACCCAAGGGGTTCACATACTTTTTCTTGCAACTGTGTATATATATATATATATATATATATATATATATATATATATATATATATACATACATACACATAGAAAACAGCACAGCACAGCAAAGAGATAACAGGGAGAAGTTAAAGGGTTATGTTACTTGCCATTTAAGCCTTTGAAGTAAGCAGATCCAAGTTGCAGAGCGAAAGGGTCTTTGATCTCCCTGTTACGATGGAAAGATAGGAGATGTCTTCAACTTACCCTTCTAGGCCTGCTAGTCTGTGTTTTAAAGTCCCCCAGCAGGGGGGTGGCTCTGAGTAACTGGCCAATCTCTGTTTAGGGAGGAATTGGCAGGCGGAACCCAAAATCAGAACCAGCATCTTTCATAATTCATATTCTGGCCTATAACTTCCCAGCTGCACAAGCGACAAACTATCGGCAGGTATTTTATTCGGCACATAAGTCTAAGGATCATTTAGAGATGAATTATGAAATTGTACATTACACGGTGTACAAGTTCTATGTTTTGGCTTCCCTGAGCGTGCAAAACTAGTGGAGTGACCTACTAAACTATTCGCCGGCTCACCGCCCATCCGATGATAAGTCTGGTTTTTATGTATGTCTCTCATATTCCAAGATATGAAACATAGGGGAAAACTGGATCGTTTAAAAATGTTATCTGGTTTGTGCTTCTGGGGAATGCCTTGAACTCTTGACCTCACAAGACCTTCTTCTCTCTAGTTCCCTGGTCTCCTCCTCCCATGCCCGCCTCCAGGACTTCTCCAGGGTGTCACCCATCCTCTGGAACTCCCTGCCCTAACCCATCAGATTATCACCTACTCTCCACTCCTTTAGGCGCACCCTGAAAACCCACCTCTTCAGGGAAGCCTACCCCACCCCCTGCTAACTTGCTGACCTCCTCCACTCTTCCTACCACTCCATCACCCACAGCTTTCTCCTCCTGTGCCACTATCCCCTCCCTCCTAGATTGTAAGCTTGAAAGAGCAGGGCCCTCGATCCCCTCATGTTTTGCATTGTATTGTTATTGTTCTGTCCCCCATTGTAATGTACAGCGCTGAGCGAACTATTGGCGCTTTATAAATACTGTATAATAATAATAATAATGTAGGCTGTCATTGCTGAGTTCTTCTATAATTGCTAGTGGCTTGGCTGTCATTAGCCTCAGTTAAGGTCACTGACCCATCTGGAAGTCAGTGAAGTCAGAACATCTGATGTGCATGCTTGTTTTTAGTCAGTAACTCGAACTACAGGAGCCAGCATTTTCAGAAAGACAGCTCAGTAATAGCAGCTTGCATATTTCTCACGGGTTTCTTTTAAAGCACTCCCTTTAGGCTGGTGGCATGACAAATGCCACCATCATGTTACAGCTCACACCCAGATATGCCAGCACATGTCTTCGGTAAGCTTCCAGAGCACCCTTGAGATCCCAAAATTGCAAATACTGTCTGGTTCGATGTGTCCACATAGGTTAGTGCACATTGTATGATTTCAATTTTGTAAGTGTTACCTATGTAAATTGATATTAACAGGATATTACTGTTGCATATATGTAATGTCTATTAAATGCATTTCACTTTGCCACCAATTTGCAATCAAAAATATGAATGCCTTCTGCAGGATAAGAGTCAGTTCTTATATGTTGGAATGTTTGTATCCAATTGTGAATGGTAAATAGTTGGTTGCCATTTTAACCACTTCCGGACTGCCCTATAGCAGAAATATTGCTACATGGCTGCACGGGTGAGCAAACTCACGTATATATACACATATATTTTGCATTTCCGGGTAGCCGTGCCCTTCCCACACTGCCATTCGTGGCCGTCAATCACCAGGTCCCGGCTGGTGATTACTCGCCGCCACCCGGTGATTTCTGAGGATCTCCGACGGGGAGGACAACTGTTTTGTTTACCGTTTCCCTCCTTGTCAGCTCCTGCACACTGCTTTGGATGGCTGTGCACTGCACAGCACAGCCATCCAAAGCAGTGTGATTACAGTGAAGAGCACTGACACAGCCCCGTAGTAAAACACTCCCAGCACACAGTTAACCTTTTGATTGCCCCTTCCTGCCCAGTGCCATTTGTACAGTGTCAGTGCTTTTTTTTTTTTTAGAAACAGATCACTGTATTGGTGTCACTGGGGATGTCAGTGACACCAAGTCAGTTTCCCCCAGTGTCAGAATGTCCACCGCAGTCCCACTATAAGTCGCTAATAGCTTCCATTACTAGTAAAAATTAGCAAACAAAATCCCAGTATATACACAGTAATTTGTAAACGCTATAACTTTCACGTAAACCAATTAATTTACATGTATTGGGTTTTTCTCTAGCAAAGACATGTAGCAGAATACATTTTGGCCTAAATTTATGATAAAATTAAGATTTTTTTTTTATTTTTTTACTGGACATGTTTAATATCCAAATTCTCAAAATTGTCAGTCTTTTTTTCTTTATAGTGCAAAAAATGAAAAAACACACAGGCGATCAAATACCACCAAAAGAATGCTCAATTCGTGGGGATAAACATTTGGGTGCAGCGTTGCATGACCACACAATCGGTTAAAGTAACGCAGCGCTGTAACACAAAAAATGGCCTGTTCAGGAAGGGGGGTAAATCCTCAGGAGGGCAAGTGGTGAAAGCTTTTGAAATTATTTTAGCGAAGCAGCCTATCTGTGCCTGCACTTCTTTATATGTTTTCCCCTCTCCAATCAACTTTTTAATCAAGGTACGCTGTTCTTCTGAACAATGTTCGGAACGACCCATCTTACTAAGATTTTCAGAGAGAAATGCACTATACCCAGCATGTACAACATTTGTTGCCTATATCCCTAAATAAGGGTCACCTAATTGACAGCTGTCATTTCACAGACTGAATGTACTCCACACTGCTATTATTTTGAACATGCCTCTTTCAATTAATGATTCAGTTACACAGAATCAGAATCGTGCATGTCATGACTGTTGGGTCTGTTGGTTTTCTATTACTCTACTACACCTGCTAGTAAATTATTTGCCATGTAGAAATATAATTTACACCAAAAACAGTGATTGATCAGGTTAGTGATGTCGGACTGCTATTATTTTGAACACAACTGTATATGCTGGTGCTATTTTGAAGACCAGGAGATCAGTACAAATTCACTTCAAGGTCAATGCACCACTAGAAAGAGAATAACTGTTTCACTCATCTTTTATAGTACAGTGCCATCACTAGCCACGTCAATATGTTCCTATGCTAGAAGATTCTGCCAGCATACTAGGAACGTGGGCAACGTGGCATCTGGCACCTTGGCAACGTGGCATCTGCACCTTGTTAATTCTACTGTTGTTGAGTAGTTGTCAGCAGCAGAATCCCCAGTACGGTATAGACTTAAAGTTGAAGTAGCCTATATGAATTATAGAATTAACAGTTTACACAAAAAACGTGGCTGTATAGCAAACTAATAGATAGCCAGTGCTGGATTTTACAGTTACAGTATCCTAACTTCAAATCATAAGAAAAAAAAAAGCTTTTAAGTATGAAGATGAATATTAACATAACAGGGATGTACGTGCATTAGACTTATTTCAGTACAAACTTGATTTCATGCATTTGGCCATTGTAATAAACAAATGAACTTGCCTGAAGCAGAAATAAACGGAACAGAACCAAATGCATCCTCAGAATGTTTGTTTTGCAAGACAGGGATGGCAGTGGTGGATTCTCTGCCCTCCTTGATTTTATCTGCAAAAAAAATATATCAAACAACAAAAAATAAAATAAAAATGGAGGCATGCAGGAAAATATGTAAAAAAAAAATGATCAATGGAAATATAACCAAAAAAGTGACAGCAAATAAAAAGTAATTTAATTTGGTCTTCACAGATTCTCATCTGATAAGCAGCATACTTGTCTAAAATTGTCTAAATGTATTTTGATAAAAGCACCACATTTCAATATAACATATTTACGAAGAGAAAAAAAAATCAAGGTCACTAATCAGTTTCTTATCACAGAGTTATAGTGTGTCTTTAGCATGCATTTTATATGCTGAACTTTTATATGCTTTTCTTTCAGTTGTTTTAATGTATTAACACACAAAAATGCTACAATGTGATTTTGTCCAGTAGTAACCCTGCATATTAAGGAAATAGAATGCTCTCTCCATGTTCTTGTAATAACATAAAAAGCGTTTAAAATGTGTGTAGCCACATTTTGTTTTAGTTTTGGATCGAGTAGGGAAGGTTTAAATCCCGCCAGGTTATTTATTTTTATATCTGTGTTCTGTTGTTTGGAAGATTTTCACTTACCTTTTGCTCTCATGACAACTCTAAAATGTAAGATTTTCTCTAATCTGTCTTGAAGACAGTGGTCACCATGACAGACAGAGGAGTGAATCTCGACAGCATGGACACAAACTACAATAAAAAGCTGGCAGAGGGTCTATCCCTTCATTACTCTATCTAAAGCTTAAAAAACCTGACAAGGCCATTTTTTGTGATACGGCGCTGCGTTACTTTAACTGACAATTGTGCGGTCATGCAGCGCTGCACCCAAATGAAATTTATGTCTTTTCCCACAAATGGAGCTTTCTTTTGGTGGTTTTTGATCACCTCTGCATGTGGCGGGCATTCTGCCACGGGGGGGGGGGGGGGGGGGGGGAGACACTAATAAAATGCACTGACACTGTACTAATGACACTGGGCAGGAAGGAGTTAACATCTGAGGAGATCAAAGGGTTAACTGTGTGCTCTGTGTGTTTTACTAGGGAGGCATGCTGTTTTGTATTGCTCTGCTATACACCAGCACCCAACAGGCGAAGAATCAGCTTGTAGTAAGGGCACCGCTGGATCCCTGGACAGGTAAGTGCTCTAATATTAAATGTCAGCAGCTACAGTATTTGTAGCTGCCGACTATTATTTTCGGCAGGGGGGGTGGGCGCCAGAACTCAGCTTTAATTGCCTTTAATATACTTCTCCTCTCAAGAGTTCTCAGCCTTGATGCTAGCAGTTGGCTGGCTCTTTGGGGAGTTACACAAATAAAAAAATGCCTTGCTGATGTCGGTCTGGGGGAGTGGGCGTTCTTAGGCAGGCTGCATTTGCATGAAAACTGCCCTAAGTAACTTCCATGACCAAAAATAAATAAATAAAATTCAGTACATGAGAGGATCCTGTACAACTGTGCAGGACTGAAGATAGGAAGTTTAGTTTTAGGGAACCTGGTTTTGTTAAACATCCAGATAGCTTTCAGCCATAAATTCGGAACAGCAAGCAAAAATGTTAAAAATCACATGAAAATAAAATGTTAGGCAAGTATGAACAATTCAGAACGGAGACATATTGAAAACAAGCTTTTTTTTTTTTTTTTTAGTTAAATAACTTCCAGACAATGATTGAAATCTTTCAGTGAACTGCTAATCCAGTACAGGAAGCACTGCAACTGTGCACAGTATTAGGTCCACTCAATCAACCTAATGGTGGCTATATATATATATATATATATATATATATATATATATATATATATATATATATATAGCAATTTGTGATCTACCTAGGTACTAGTGATAAAACAAAGAAATTACTTATTATCAGTTAAAATATGGAACAGACATTGAAGGAAACCCAATACTGAATTATGCATAAAGCATGCTATGATTGGAGCCACATTGACCCATTTTCTTTGGGAAGGCCTCCATATCTAGGATGGAACTCTTTAGTGTATCAACAATGTCCACAAAATTAACATACATAGGGATCCCTTGATGTATCTTTAGTAATAGGTCTTCACCACAAAATATGTAGCAGTAAACAGTGACTTTAGTGCATACTTACTCCTGGCACTATTACTTCCAACTATTAAAGTAGAACTATAGGCAAAACTTTTTTTTCCCATTTTGGATAGAGTAAGGGCTATATCCTTTGACAGAATTAGTTTTTTTGTCATCTGTGTCCCATTGTGGTCAATTCCCTCCGCTTCCTGTCCCATAGCCAAACAGGAAGCGAAAAGAAATCCCTGCAAAGTAAGGGAATTCCTTGGGGACCCCCAGGTCATCAGATCTAATGTTCCCATTTGAAGATTTCCCCTATGTTGCTTTTCTGGGGACAACCCAAAATTTGGGATTTTTTTTTACTTTCACTCTCAATGATAATGATCTATCTGTCCATTCAGTCATATCCAACCCTTGGCGATTGCATGGACCGTCACTCGTAAGCGACTTTTTCCATGAATTCTCTTAGCAATTATTTTTACAGGGTAGGTTGCCAGGTCTTTCCCCACCCCCACCATGCAGGAGATCCCGCATGGCCAGGGATGAAACTAGGATAATTTAGACAGGAGCCAATTAATCTACCAGCATGTCTTTGGAGTGTGGGAGGAAACTGGAGTACCCGGAGGAAACCCACGCAAGCACGGGGAGAACATGCAAACTCCATGCAGGAGGCACCATGGTTGGAAATTGAACCCATGAGCCATTTACTGCACGGCAGACGTGCTAACCACTAAGCCACTGTGCGGCCCATGATAATGATAAACAGGACATATAGAGAGGATGAATTTCCTTAACAGCAACACAGACCGCAACAAAACCTTGACAGGTGTTCTAATCCAACTTCACTCTGCCCAAGACTAAAAAAAAAAAAAAGTTTTGCATTTAGTTATATTTTAGAGTACTGATGTGTAGGTAAAGAATTGACGCAAAACTGCAAATGGACAACTCGCAAATTTTTCAACAAATGGAGCCTCTTTATCATTGTCAGATTAGCTGGACATAGTTACAATTGTCTGTCCATCTGAGTTCACAACTTGTTATGCAGAAGAAACCCTCAAAGGCACAATTAGACACTTCAGTCTGCCCAAGGTGCCTTGATTCTGTTCTAAATTTTAGATGGTAATGACCAAATAACAGTCCATTCTGTTTTCTGAAAATATTATTACTTCGAGAAGCACAGCCTAGTACCTTCCTAAATTACTGATCTCCCTGGCATAGCCTACTTATGGGATCTTGCTGATCTTGTGAGATGCTGCTAACCAGAATTGCATTATGACCACAACATTCTGATAACTAGCAATATGGCATATCTGATTAATCATGTCCATTTTCTTGACATACTGTCTTGATTTAAATATATTTAATTTTGAGTATGTAAAAAAATTTCAATGAAATAGTTTGAAAAAAGAAAAAAAAAAGAAAGATATGGCACAATGCAACACACTCAGTATTGTTCCACACTTTGGTGTTGATGGATAACAATTTAACATATAATGTAGCAGTAATAAATCTGAATGACCTGATAAAAATGATTGTGTAATTGATCTGTTTTATGATCAGTTCCTTACACATGCGCAACTATTTATTTGACTGATAAAAAGTGATCAACAGCTTCAGCTAGTTCCCTCTCTCCTCCCACAGCCAACTAACTCATTTCACTTTACTAAGGATTTAATTGTAGAGATTAAGCCTGTGGGAGCGTGAAATGCATTTGAAGGAGCGTGGCATGGGGAAGACTAGCCAAAGCCTTTTCCATATACACGCTTCACATTTGTGTGCGGCTCTGCTTTTTCTTATCGGATGTTAAGGATCATTGAGCTGGACAAGCTCAGCTGGAGCACTAGCACCTTGTTTATGGTTTTTGAAATCACCGGGTGATGTGTGCACAGTGCCTTAGTTATGGGATCACTATAAATTCACTCTTTTAAAACAGATACTTTAGAAATGATACTTAGCAGTTCAGATTCAACTTTAAATTTATAGGGCACCTACCTACAGTAAAACATGGAACAGCAACCAAATTGTTATTTACAACTGATTTAATTGGCAGAAAAACGGTACAGAAAATATGTTTTTACATTTTACATAATCACATTGCAGACTCCAGGTAAAGAGAATAACTATTCATAAAAAGGATTTGAGATGACATATGAGGTGATGGTGATTTTATTTAACCAGAAATAGGTAAATCAATAGAATTAAGTAATTTTTCATAAGGTCCAGCAAGTACACCCACAACTACTTTACCTGCAAGTGCATTTCCATATTTATGCACAGTGACTTACTATTTAGGGATTATTCATATTGACTAGATTTTAGCTCCCACTGCTCCCAAATGCATTTTGTGGCTGATCTATTGGATTTTAAGTTCAGCAGTTGATCAAACAGCATGGTGCAGTTCAAGGCCAACTGAGCCAAATGAGTCTAATGGGCAGAATAGTGCTGTGAAGACAATACGCGATAACAAAACAGGGCTGGATAATACAGTAGCTCATCAAGTTATCTTTCCTACCTAACTTTTTCCTGACTTTCTTTAGGCTGTATAAATACAGAATGCAAACCCTCAACTTGAATTTTAATAAAGTCCCAAGTACAATAAGTGAAGACCTCTAGAAACACTAATTACTCCCAAAAATTCAGGAACATTCCATCTGCTTTCTTTCTTGAATCAATAGTTGCTCCTATTTTCGAGGAACTGGGACTATTGCTTTGAGGAACTTCTGATACTTTTGAATGTGTTGGAGGCTTCCTCTGCCCATAGCTACTTCCACCCTACTTAAGCACCACAGCTCACCAATGCTGCAGAAGAGAGCCTTGCGCGATCTGGAATCAGAATGAGAACCCAGGCAGCAATAGAAAACCTGATAGAGCCTTTAAAGCTTCTCTATGCAAGCTAAAACAATATCAAAAAGCAAATATGAATATGTATAGCCAAGCAAGATTTATCTTTATAATTCTTGTTCTCATGGAAAAT